AGACTGAACCCAGGAGGCGGAGGTTGCGGTGAGCCGAGATCGCGCCATTGCACTCCAGCCTGGGTAACAAGAGCGAAACTCCATCTCAAAAAAAAAAAAAAAAAAAAAGAAGAAAATAAGGACTAGGAAAGTTAATAACTTGCCAAGAATTATGCAAGGAATTTGTGATATTTAAACCCATTCGATATATGGCATTCAAACCTTCAAATTCTGGGTACTTCTGTATCTCCAGGTTACAGTGAAGCTAGGACATCTCATAAAGCCAAACTATCGTTTAGATTTGATAGAAGGACCAACATCATATAAAGCAATATGAATGAATATACTGATTCCTTCCTGCAAAGGGTATCGTCATGATGTTTACCTTGCGGACTGTCGTCCCTGGAGCTAAAACGCTCTGTACATGAGAAAAGTCAAGGATCCCTGGCACTGCTCCCTAGGCTGGGCATGGTGGCTCATGCCTGTAATCCCAGCACTTTGGGAGGCTGAGGCTGGCGGATTACTTGAGGCCAAGAGTTCAAAACCAGCCTGGCCAACATGGTGAAACCCTGTCTCTACTAAAAATACAAAAAGTTAACCCGGCATGGTGGCATGTGCTTATGTTCCCAGCTCCTCGGGAGGTGGAGGCATGAGACTTGCTTGAACCCGGGAGGTGGAGGTTGCAGTGAGACGAGATCACACCACTGCACTCCAGCCTGGGGTAGGACTCCACTCTGGAATCATATGTCAGGAGAGTAATATCCAATAAGACCAGCCTGGAATGTGATGCCTCGAGGGATCTTTAAGCAATAGGCCTTTCCTACTTTTTCTTACCCTTATGGTTTTGGGTTTAACCTCATTCTCCCTTCTTGGTGTTTGTGCTTGACCTCAGCCTTTCTCTACTCTTTGTAGACATCAATGAATGCACAGATTTTGCAGATGTCCCTTGTAGCCACTTCTGCAACAACTTCATTGGTGGTTACTTCTGCTCCTGCCCCCCGGAATACTTCCTCCATGATGACATGCAGACTTGTGGAGGTGAGCTTGGCATCAAGAGTGTTGCATGTTCCCTGGGATTTGGAATGGCTGAGACCGCAGAAAGGGCTTTGTCCACCCTTCCAGCTTCGATTAGGCCCAGCCTTCATTTGGCACTTATTCTTTTTTCTTAATTTTTAAATTTATTTATGCATTCTTTTTAAGAATTTTAATAGCTTTGGGGGTGCTGGTGGTTACATGGATGAGTTCTTTAGCGGTCAATTCTGAGATTTTAGTGCACCTGTTACCCGAGCAGTGTACATTATACCCAATGTGCAGTTTTTTATCCCTCACCCCTTTCCAACCTCCCCCTACGCTGAGTACCCAGAGTCCATTATATCACTGTGTATTGGCATTTATTGTTAGTTACTCATAAGCTGAGGTGAAGCCACAAGAGGGAAGGAAGGAAAGGCTACAGGATAAAGTTAGTTAATTGGAGAGGAAAGAGAGATGGCTGTAATGAGTCTACTGGGGGCTGTTCATAACCAGGAAGGGCTCTATCCTAAGCAAAGTGATGGAAACCTAATAGGCATTGGGTATTTCTACTGCTATGGATTGCGTGTATAATTGCTCGATCCCTCCAGTTAGGGATCCCAGGTTAGTCTGAGTGGAGGACTGTCAGCTTCTGAGAGAAGGAATCATAGAATAGCACAGGAATTTTGCTTGACTCTGTATTTGATTCTCCCTTTCTCTTTTTCTCTCTTAGTTAATTGCAGTGGGGATGTATTCACTGCACTGATTGGGGAGATTGCAAGTCCCAATTATCCCAATCCATATCCAGAGAACTCAAGGTGTGAATACCAGATCCGGTTGGAGGAAGGGTTCCAAGTGGTGGTGACTGTGCGGAGAGAAGATTTTGCCGTGGAAGCAGCTGACTCACAGGGAAACTGCCCTGACAGCTTAGTTGTGCGTGATGGTTCATTAATACCCACACCCTCAACTTACACAAAGAGATCTCTCTCTGAAGACAGTCATTTTTCTTTCTTTCTTTCTTTTTTTGAGACAGGGTCTTGCTCTGTTGCTCAAGCTGGAGTGCAGTGGTGCAATCACAGCTCACTGTAGCCCTGACCTCTTGAGCTCAAGCAAGTCTCCCACTTCAGCCTCCCGAGTAGCTAGGACCACAGGCGAGCATCACCATATCAAGCTAATATCATTATTATTATTATTAATTTTTTTTTACAGAGATGGGGTTTTGCTATGTCACTCAGGCTGGCCTGAAACTCCCAGCCTTGCCGGGCGCGGTGGCTCAAGCCTGTAATCCCAGCACTTTGGGAGGCCGAGGCGGGTGGATCATGAGGTCAAGAGATCGAGACCATCCTGGTCAACATGGTGAAAC